TTTTTTTTTTTTTGCTTGAGCAACTTTTATCACAATCCATACATCCATTTGTGCCAAGCACATTTGTACATTTGTTGCCATCATTTTTAAAACATTTGCTTTCTATTTGAGCCCTTGGTATCAGCTCCTCATTTTCCCCCTCCCTCCCTGCTCCCCCCTCATTCATAAACCCTTGATAATTTATAAATTATTGTTTTGTCATGTCTTACACTATCCAACATCTCCCTTCACCCACTTTTCTGTTGTCCCCCAGGGAGAGGGTTATATGTAGATAGATCTATGTGATCAGTTCCCCCTTCCTACCACACCCTCCCGCCACCCTCCCGATATCGCCACTCTCACCACTGGTCCTGAAGGGATCATTCTGGATTCCTTGTGTTTCCAGTTCCTGTCCGTACCCGTGCACATCCTCTGGTCTACCTGGATTTGTAAGGTAAAATGCCTCAGGGTTTTCTGGGCTGTAATTTCTCAGGCTCACCATGAGTGGCCAGCGACTCACGCAGGGAGTGGGATTTGGTTTGGGAATCTTAATGGAAGCTGATTATCAGATCTTTCCTCAACAGTCACTGGATGGGTTCAAACTCTCAGCCTTTCAGTTAGCAGTTGAGCTAATTCTTGCGCCACTTGGGCCCCTGACCATGTTCAGCATCAACAACACGCAGGCTTCCACTGAGGGAGGGGTCGTGTGAGCTGAGTCGGAGCGGAGGCTCCCATGTGGAAGGTGAGAATTCTATCCTTGCCCCACTCTAGAATCTACCAATAATTCAAACTCGTTGCCACCGAGTCAATTCAAACGCAGAGCCACCCTGAATAGGGTTCCTGAGACTCAGTCTTCGTGGGAGCAGACAGCTTCAACTTTCTAGTGTGGGTGTGAACCGCCCACTTTGTGGTGAGCCGTCCAGTGCTTCCTCAGGAAGACGCGCCGGGGAATGGAGATGGGGGTAGTCCAGTTATAAGAGCAACAACAACCAGTGGCGATACGGCATAGCAGCATACAGAAGGGGAAAGGGGTGTGTGCGGGGGATGGCGGGAGAAGACATTATGTCTCCAGAGGAGAGGGAGAGAGGTAGCAGACCTCACCCTGGCGCACCAAGCCTTGAGGGTAAGCAACTTACTGGCATGAAGCAGTGAACTAAGAGGTCTGTGGGGCTGGCCCCTATCCCGGCTACATTGACCCTCTTCCCCAGAAGAATGCTCTACAGAGGATGGCACTGAAGATACAGCCTGGGGGGAGTGTAAGGTTTGCCCAGACCACATGGGAGCAAAGTAAGAGAGAGTGGACAGCATCCTGGACCACCCAGCTTCAAGGATGACATTCCTGCTTGGAGCAGCCACTGCACAGAGAGGACTGTAGGGCCGGCCTCACCATGA